CAGGACTGTGTTCTTGGGCCATGCTGGCCTGAGGGAGCGCCAGGAAAACCTAATACTGTCTCGACTGTCATTAGCTGAGCTTTATTTCTTTTGATGCCTCCACCACCACCCGTTTTAATTCCTAGGACATACCGCTAATTTAGGAGGTAGCTTTGGCTTTCCACTCCACTGTGAGAACCTGTTGAAATGCAGTTGTGAGTTTGTGCATCGTGTTTCCAGGGGAACCCCTACTACGAATCTTTAGGGATAACCATACTCAGCCACAAGCAAGACTTAAGCTGCTATAGAAAGATAGTCTTTTAGTGAACCTGAGCCCAGTCACACAGCAGGGTATTTTTTTTCTTTTCCTTCTTTTTTTTCCTTCTATTTTCCTGTCTTTATAGGAGATGATTATTAAACTTTGGTTGCCAAGTATCTTTAACTATGATTACCCACTTACCTGCTCCACATCTTCATCCTGCCCCAAACTAGGATTCCTATTTCAAACCTATACCTGTCTCCACTTTCCTGTTGTACAGCCCAATTACCCACAACTGTGATCACAACCAAAACTCCCATCTGCTTCACTTGAATCCCATATCCACCCCACCAAATTATAAAAGTCTTTTCATTGGGAATCTGCATCCACAAGCCGGGGTTTAGCCACATCCCCTCAGCGACATTAAAACCTTGCTTGCCTCTTTTGTCTTAGTAATCTCAGTTTAGTCTTTGCTCAGCTTAGGCTTGTTTCTGAAGATGCACACCTTGGCATACTGGAAGAGAATATTATTTACAGAGCCCAGAGTTGCTGCAGTACAAAAGAGTAAAGTACTGTCAGGTACCTGCTTGGTATTTAGAGAGGCACTCGTTCCTGTAGCTCAGATAAACGTTTCTGGACAGGCAGTTGAAATTAACTTGTATCCTGCTCTGCCTTAGGTAAATACATAAAACTATCACTAGGGTCTATTGATGGAATATATGTTTATACGTAAGAGAATTCTCAAGCAGCCTGCCAAGTTCACCACAAGACTTTCAACATTACAAAATTATTTCTGAATAGTCTCCAATTTTACATTGCTTTTTACAAGATGGTAATGCAGTTTCTTAACCTTTCCATGTATGGAATAGAACTTTTAATGACTACTTTGCACATAGAAAAGAAGTTTAATTCTTTTTTTTTTCCTTGAGGAACATAAGAAGAATAGGGTCCTGGTTTTATATAAATGTTTTCTTGATGATTTCCTGTCTCTCTTTAGCAGTGATACAGTGTCTAAAGAATAGCTTTCTCATAACTTTGGTCCCATTTGTTTGACATTGTGGTGAAGTCTATGTTGATGTCATTATGGTTTTGTTTCTTTTCCTTTAAAGACTGCTTCTCACTTCAGTAGAATTCTAGGATCTCATATTTGAAAAGTCAATGCAGCTTTATCTTTACAGTAATACCAAATATCAAGGATGCTTTGAGGCATTGGTTTTTTTCCTCAGAACTCAGAGGTCACCCTTGCCCGAATTTGTTCCACATTATCTAGCGTGGGTGGACTTAATAAGGCAGTAACTTTTTTTTTAGTGACCAGACAAGAAAGGAGTAGGTAGTCAACCACTGAAGCCACAGAAACAGCAACGCTGTCTCAGGCCCCGTCAGAACAGGAAATATGCCTAGAACACAGCCAGTCCAGTGCAGTCTGCCAGGGGATTTAATAGGCTGCTTTTCTACTGTCTTCTGTGCTCTGTACAGCTGGCAGATTAGTACTTAAACAGATTTGTCACAGAACTTTACTTTTATGCAATGTGCTAATCTCGAGTTAATAGCAGTGTACTACCATTTTTTACTATTGCAGACTGTATGTATGGACTCTCTGTTGAACTTCGCAATTTTAGCATCTACAGTATTTTTCTATTTTCTGAAAGCTAAACTTTCACACCTAGATTGTGGAAATCCCAGAGGCTAGCTCATTTTAGATTTTATGTAAATTTAACTTAATGCATGCATCTGTTAAACTGCTTTCTGGACAGGATTAATTGTATTGTAGAATCTTGTTTTTGTTATGGTTTTAGATGCCACACTCAGATCAAGCACCTTCCAATAAAAAGACTTTGAGAACTTCATTTCTTCCGACTGTTTTACCTTCATCAGTCACATCTGATATGTCACCACTACAGAATAAACTATTGACATACCGAAGATGCAATGAACAGCAAAAGTTGCTTATTCAGTTACTGTGAGTTTCATGTAATTCATTAAATGTTGAAATTCAAATGAAAGAAACATTGCACATTTGACATCTGAGAAATAATAACAGCGTTTGTTAATTTTAGAGGTTTTTGATGTCACTATTGCAGTGCTAAACACTGCACATCTAAAATCATTAATAACAAGAACATTTGATGGAATCTCTGATGTTTTTTCTTTACAGCACCCACAATATGCTTGATTTATGTTTGTTGGAGTGAGTTGTGAGGAGAAAGTGACCTTTGCATTTTGAACATTATGATAGACTGAAAAAAATCCGTTCTCTTTATGAAAACGTTTTTCAAAGAGAATCAAAGTCTGGATTACTTGCTTGCTTTTGTGTGAATGGTCCAAACATGGGTCTACTTCTAACAGGCAGCTTTGTCACTATCTTAATGCGTTTGCTGCTGAGCTTAGTGATCTGTGTCGCTGCCAGAGGAGCACAGCTGCCGAGTTGATTGGTAGAATCACATAAAATTGTCTTTCAAGATTTTCATTTGCAAAGGAAGAAAAGGAGGAAAGACAACAGGAAAATGCTGCTTTCATGTAATTTTTGTTGGCCTAATAGAAATTATCTTATTATCTTTTATTTTAATATAAATTTATTCCTGAAATACCTACATTGTTTTCAGGAACTTACTAAAGAATCCCTAGACATGTTGATTATTTTGGCATAAACATGAGGATTATGTAGGCTAAGGTTGCATTGTTTGTGGTATTATGATGAAATATATAGCAACTTGCATATTCATGTAAAAGATTAAAAAGGTAAGGAAATCTAATGGTATTTGATAGGATTAAAAAACACAGAAAAAAATCATTTTGGCCTTCAGAAGAAGAAATGGAAATTAAAGACCTGAATACAGTCTTAATTTAATCCATTTTAAGTGTTGTCACTGATATCAATAATTTTATTTTTGTTGGTGTAGGTTTTTAGTGATTCCATTTGCTGTGACTAGATTTGGTGATGGTAACCAGTTATTTAACTAATTCCTGTGCAATTGATGTTCCACTAAAGTGGCTAAATTTTTAAGTGGCCAAGTTTGTTTTTTCTGGAAAGATACTTGTATGTGTCCCAAATCGTTGGCTTCATGAAGCTAGACAGTGGTATAAAACTAAGGTGCAGAATTGAAGTCTGAGAAGAATTTATCGCAAAGGAGAATTTTATTTGTGCCAAAGATGGGGGGTGGGGGGTGGTTTTTTTCCCCTTCTCTCTCTCTTTTTTTTTTTTTTTTCTTCTTTTTGAATAATGGTAGCAACAATCTCTTATGGAAAGCAGTTAATGTATATAGAACTTATAGGTAGAGAAAGATGTTTCCTTTCTTTTAATAGTTTAAAGGCTGATATAATGCAAATCTAACAAACAAAAGTCTTTTAAATTTAGCTCTTGGAAAGTAAATCCTGACCTTTCAATGGTACCTGCAGTAGCAGAGTGCGGTATTTAGAATGCAGATGTTCAGTATGCTGAAAATGTCAGCTATCTTGCAGCGATAACTTACTGTGCAGTAAGATGACTGCTGACCAGCTATCTGACAGTGAATATTCTGCTGGAACATTGATTCAGTTACACTTTTGTACGAAGTGAACTATCTTTTAAATAAGGTCCTATGAAGTAGTAATTTCAGTGTATACTTGAAATTGGCAGTCTAACTTCCACTTGTTAGTTTTCAGTTGAGTTATATTGAGATAAGGCTGAAATACTCTTTGCAAGATATGTGAGGAGTGTATCCCAAAAGGGTGGAGTAAAATGTTTTAATACGTAAGGTCAGGATGACATGCCAACATTAACCATTTAAAGTTTTCTGATAGTTATTTAGCAATTTATAACCACAGGTAGTACAAAAGAGCTGGTCTTAAAATAAAGGGCTCTAGCACTTTTGTTTTGTTCTGCACTTTTTTTTTTTCGTAATACAGTTGGACAAGATCTGTTGTGGTTGGTTGAGGAGAGGTAAGATATAATCCGAACGAGTGCTGGGCAATTGGATGAGGTTAATCAAGGCATGTATATTGTGATTGTGGTCAAGATAAATGTGGCTTTTTATATAAGAGAAGACAGAGTATGGAAAGGCAGCGTTAGTTTTTAGTGATCAAAGAGTTGGTAAACACAACAAAATAGATTGCATCAATTAAAATGATAGCATTATTTTTAATATATTATATATAGTTTTTCTGCACTTTTGACTCTATGTTTTACTTTAGAATTGATCGAGCTTTAAAAGTCTATCATATCTCCATGGAAGAAAAATATCACAGAGATCCTGTACCCCCTATTCCAGAACTGCCTTCTACTGTGAGAAAGTATTTCTTTAATATTTTAACTGTTGCTTGTTTTGTTCTTTGTTATTGGGGCATTTATGCCTCTTACTACTAGTATTTACTTAAAGATACTTATCTCAATCCTTAGTAATCCATAAATGTATTTATATGTTCAAATAGTCCCATTGAAATTGACTCCTGTATATTTACACAATAAAGTCTTTATTTAGGAATAATATTTGTTAAATTTTGTATTTCTGATTTTTTTTTGTTCATATGTTCTTAATACATTAAGATTTTCTGTTCCTTTTTATACAGATGAACAGTGAGCAAAAACAACGAAGAGTGAGTTAAATTCTTTCTTCAGCTTTTTTAGAGTAGAAGAGTGAATGGTCTCTATTCAGAAGGGTTGAGTGCGTTATGGGGAATTAATGGTGGTTAAACAGGAAAAGCTCTTTCAGTAGTCTTGTTGGAGGAGAATGGAATAGGAAACAAAATAGCAATCTTTACTTGTGGTCCAGTAGACAGAAAGTATTTTTCTATTACAGAAAGCATGTCCATCAGTAATTTAAGTTTTGATCTAAACCTTAGTTAAAGATCATTACTTAGAAAAAATTCTAACAGGCTTCCAGATTTTTTCCATTGAGGTCATAGATTATACTTTAGCCTGTACAAAAAGTAGTCTTTGACATTGTTCACCTGTTTTGAAGAACATGTAGAAATCCTGGGATTTGTGTAGTTTTTAAAATAAGTCTTTATGTCTGAAAGCCACTTTAAACTCAAATTAGCATTGAAATATTTATATTAAGTAGCTTAAGGGAACATGTATTTTTCCTAGCTGATGTTAGGTAAACTCATTCTGAAGACTACAGAGATTCAGATCCCTTTTTGTTTTATAACAAACCTATCACTCAAAAGCACGAATACCTTTTTTTTTTTTTTTTTTTGCAAAAAAACCCCAGCTAACTATTTGTGTGTACTTTTTGCCAGATAAATGTTTGTCCAAAGAGCAATAACATGGACCTTCAACTGTTTTATTGTCAGTCATAAACTCCAGCAAAGAACTAAGGAAAATGCCTTACTACAAAGCACAATATTTTGTATTTAAGCATTGAGAGAGGGAGACCATTTTACCAACCATGGTGGATAAAGAGAGACTTCATTGTCAAGCCTAATGCAAAAATATTTACATAACCAATTATTAGACCTCTAACAATATTGTCCTTTCAGACAAACTATCTCTTTATGAAGAAGTGTGTGCAAAGTAACCCGGTGGTTCCCATTCAGCAGCAGTGGCTAATGTCCATGCTTACACTGGTGCCACAGTCACTCATGGAAGGCAAAGATAGAGAGCTGTTAGCTGAAAAGCTTTTAGAGGAAATAATAAGGGATTATGAAATGAGCATGAGAAGATGTGTGGGTAAGTGCCAGAAACTACACAGTACTATTATTAATATATTAATGTGTGTGTATGTATATGTGTGTGTATATATAGAAAATAAGCTCTTTCATGTCCTCCCACTGAAAATAATTTTTCTAGATTGTTCTTTCAGCCAGGCATGATCTTTGTAATTAACCACTGATTTCTCTTTTTCTGCCTCATCAAATGTGTATTGGCTGTAATGTTTAAGGCAAAACTTCCTGGTTTTATTTGGACTAGTAAAAAGTTAACCAGCTGAAGGTATAGTTCAAGCAAAGAAAAGGCAGCTGTAGACTTCATGAGAAAAAGGTTAACTGCTGATGACCTTATTTCATTAAGTCTTTAACCTGTTTAGTTAATTTGATGCAAGAATGTATTGCTGTTTTCTACTAAAGAAAGTAGAAACTTTTTATGCACTAGTCATTCTTTTTTTTTTTTGCCTCTTCAGGAACAGCAGCTTTTTTTTTTAAGCTGTTCATCCACAAGCACATCCGTAAGTTTTCTGATGTTGCTTTCCATGCATAAGGAAGCTCACAATAAAAATCTGCAAAGATAATTGGCTATTTTCAGATATTACTCATACAGCTCACTTTGATTTTTAGACTTTTTTAAAAGATCAATGAACTGGAATTTTGAAAGCATATTCCCTTAAAATCATATATTAATATCTTTTTATTTACATTTATAGTATCTGAAATCTGAAATTGAGCCAAATTTTATCAATATTCTGGTGGATGGCTGATCTTTTTTAAAATGCAGATTGAAAAAAGACACCATTTAACATGGGACTAACTTTTTCGTAATGTCGTCAGTGGGATAATTATAGTATCCCACTATAAATATATTAAACAAAATTGCCATAAATACTTAGAATCATAGAATATCTCAAATTGGAAGGGGCCCATAAGGATCACTGAGTCCAACTCCCTGCTCCTCACAGGAGTACCTAAAACTAAACCGTATGGCTAAGAGCATCATCCAGACACTCCTTGAACTTTGACAGGCTTGGTGCTGTGACCACTTAGCTGGGGAGCCTGTTCCAGTGACTGACCATCCTCTCAGTGAATAAATTACTTAAGAAAGTACTTGATTATTTAAACACTAGTTTATCTGAAAATCTTCATTAATAGGGGACAGAATTGGAATTAAGCCAACTGAATCTGTATAGATATTTAGCAGAAGCTGTGATTGAGTTTACCTTTGGGAGAATGTGTTCTGAAGACTTAGATGATAGTTATCTTTCCATTCTACTATCTGTGTGGTTCAACCTGGAGAAAGACTGAGGACTACAGTACCTATTGAATATGGCTTAATTTTCCTCTAATGTTCATATATGTATATTTTTTTTTCCTAGTGCAAAATGTTCTTATTAAACCAGACATAAAAGGACTTGAAGATGAAGAGGAGGCACCTTTGCCTTTATCACCAGTGTGAGTGGAATAAGTTAGCAAATAACCCACTGGCAAAACATGCTCAGTTGCTTAAATGAAATTCTTGTTTAGCTGCATGAACAGTTATGGCACAATATTAATTCTGGAGTCCCTTAATGAGACATTTTTTTTCTGTCTGTAGATGATCTTACATTTGAACATCTTATATCTGAATGCTTTACAAAGTTTTAGCACTGACTGTTTTATTACTGTTGTGACTGTTACATAGAGTAGCACTAATGACTGCAAATGAGACTTCTGGCTTTGAGTGCCTGGACACTCAAAGTCATATTGCAGCCACCTCTGGAATGAAGTGTGCGTGTGTACAGGGCATTTTACTGGCAGACAGCAGCACTGTACAGTACTTTAACATGCTAAAACCGCATCTAATGCCAAGGTTTCATTTGACTTCAGTGTTATGAGGTGAAACCTTGAGACCAAAGGAAAGGCTGTTATGCTCTACCAAAATGGAAGACGAATTCAGGTAGACAGAATATAATTATCTGAATTGCACAATTTGCTGAAGCATCAGAATGTGTGCCATCTAAATATTGATGATAAATACTTCCTGTTAGCAGTTGGTGAAGTTAGAAATTTACATTGAAAGAGCTTCAGGAAGAGCAGGTGATCTGAAAATACTCTGGAGTATAAAACATGGTTGATCAGAGAGAATATCCTTATGGCTTCCCCTGCATCGTATTGAAGATATGTGTATGGCACTTAACTATTCATGTTAGGGCATAAGCTTTTTAATACTACTTTTTTAATGTAAGAATGTTTTATTCAAGTATTGATTGAGGTCTTCACTTTGTTGTTTGTTTTGCTGGGTGTTTTTTATCAGTGGCCTGGATTTTTCTAGACCATGGCATGACAGTTTTATCCAAGCAAAAACTCAAATCCTTTCCAACTTGCACATTCTCCACCCCACAATGAAAACTCTACTGGATTTTGGTTATGCAGCATTCTCTAACTTTCTTATAGTGGATTTCTCAAGTTTCAGGTAAAGTCTGTTTTGGAGAATTATTAACCCATATAGGTTTTTGAAGCTGGTAAAGAAGAGTTTGTTCAATTCTATTATTTATGGTAGGATTTTTTATACAATAAATTACTTCAATGTGTCATTTAATGTTCTTTGAGTAGATTACTTTGTGTTATGACACATTTAAATTTTCTTCTCTCTCTTACATATAAATATTTTATTGGTGCTTAAATTGCTGGTGGTATCAGCCCTTTTGATTTATATTTTGCCTTTAATTCTGTAAAGATCTCATTATTTATTTATTCTTAATGTTGTGATCCCCACAGAAGTCTGGTTGAAGTAGCACTTGAAAAATTGACTTCTAGTAGTTAGGGAATTCTACGCTAACCCTAAAGATCAGATTTCTTGCTGGTTTTCATCAGTTGAGTTTTATTTTTAATCTTGGAACTTTTCATTTTCATAATTTTCAAAAAGATAATTTTTAGTGTCTTTTTCCCCTCATTATTTTTTCTGATAACTGTTCTTTATTTCCTGCGGTTTTCCTCATTTAAATCTACAGAAGTGATGCTTTGATTCCCACTGTGCTTTCTGCTAAGATGAATGGGTTTGTAATACAGTGTAGATTACTGTTACTTTACTCCATGGGTTTTAAAATTTTGTTTATAAAGTTGCCTGTAACTTTATTTTCTAGATTGAAAGGGCCAATTGACTGTGAATCTTTAAAAACTGATGTCTCTCTAAGCTGTTCTAAAGCAGAAGAGAAGATATTGAATACGTGGTATCAAAGGGTTATCAGTCTCTTTACTCAGAAGGGGTCATTGAATGGTGTAAAGTTGGATCAGGTTGACCCTTTTTATAACTGTGTGGCTACACTTATGTCTAATCAGGTAAAAAATCTTTCCTCTCTGTGATAAACTTAATGTGAAATTTAGGTTAAATTTGATGAGTCAGCACACTATATGATATGGGGCCTGTTTAATTAATCATTGTTAGCCATCTGTTGCACATAATCCAGTAAAGTATTCAAAGTGTTAAATATTTTTAACTTCCCTTATTTAAAATAAATATGTAATCTAGTCTACTTTTTCTTATAGTTTTTTAGATGCAGAAAATTCATTAATTCTACCAAGTAGAATGTCATTAGCTTAAAGAAGGAAATATCTCAGTGTTCTCAGGACCCTTCCTATCACCAATCTTGGAACTACAATTACATGTCATATATTAGCAAAATGAACAAAACCTGGTCCCTCTCCCTTGAAAGCAAGCATATCTACCAAAGAGATTGAGAGTCCAGCTCTGCCAACATGTGTGCAAGGGGCTACGGTTCTGCAAAATTTCCAAACGCAACTTTTTTCTGTGGAAAATACCACAATCCTTTGCGAGTTTTTTTTTTTTTTCCCTGATTATTTATATCAAGGTGGAAGTTACATGATGTGTTTCTCGGGTTGGGTGTTTTTTTGTTTGTTTTAGGAACTTCCAATTGTTTTATTTCCTAATAATAATAAAACAAGAACGTTCAAATGAAATCACTGATTTCAGACTGAGTGAATTGTTTTTCAAAGTTCTTAGTTTAGTGAAAATTAAAAATCCTTTAATTTCCAATTAGCTTAAAACATCTGTTCTTTACATTGTTCTATTTAAGAATATAATATTCTGTGGGAATATATGTGTTCAGCAGTTTGAGAAGGCAGTCGTTTTTAGGATTAAACCTTTATTTACATTGTAGAAAAATAACAGAACAATAGTCTAATCAAATCATTATCATATTTGATTAAAAACCAAAAAGTCAGGAAAATGTATTCCAGATATTTCATTTATACTTAAAGCATGTATTAGTAATAGACTTACTTTTGTAGCAGAAATAAATGCATGGACTTTACTGAAGTATTTGTTTACTTGTTCATTAGTTTACATCCTTGAAGGGTCAGGATTAATGCCTACTGAACTCATTAGAAAAATTGACACTACTTCAGTTATCCATGAATCAGGCCAAAAGTACTAAAATGAATGGAAATCCTGGCCTACTGAATAAAGGGAAAGTGGGATGGGACTTTCTGTTCTTTCAACTAATTAAGTGATATGTGTTATTACCTAGCTGAAAGAGTTATTGAGAAGAACAGTTGCAGCTTTTGTGAAACTTTTTGATCCTGAAGACCGAAATTCTCTACCTTTATTTAAGATGGAATTGATTCTTGATGAAAAGAAAATGGAGTTTTATCCAAGCTTCCAAGACCTAGAAGAAGCAATTCTCTTTATAGTAAATCGTGTAGGACAGACTCTCCAGGTGTGCTTTTATCTTTATTTAAATATGTAACTGCTAAGTTGCTCTGTACATGAAAATATTAGTTATTTAGGACTCTGACTACCGTGGTAATGAGAAGAAGAATGCATCCTGAGGTATTTATTTTCCATAAGCATTCTGCAGGTAACATCATGAATCTTGATGCCCGGTGGAAGTCCAGGCTCTGAAACTCATTTTGTTATTCCTTGTTCTTAAAAAAATGGGTACACCTGCTACTGATTGTTTTAGTCTGCTGATTTAATCTGCAAATCTGTATGTATGTCTACAAATTAATTGTCTGTTTGTTCATTAAATAGAAGTCAGGCTGAAAACCTACTCAGGAAAGAAAACTAGCTAAAAGATAACTTTTTTGTTTTCTTCTTTGGCATGTTTAAAAAACCATCTGAGTGCTTTAAGTATAAATAACCTCATATTCTAATTTATTTATGTGTTTATTTTTAACATGGAAAATCAAGTAGTTTTGCAGTGTTTACTTTGAACTAACATTTTGCATAGAAATAAAATTAGCACCTTAGTTATATGTGTGATGATTTACAATAAACTTACGTTAATAATTAAGATCCCTAGAGAAAGACAAGGAAAATTAGAATTGATTTTCCTTTTCTTTCTAAGAAAAAGAAAAGCCTCAAATCCTTAACAACTAATATATACAATATCTAAAGGTTTATGTCTTAAGAACTGCTCTGTGACTCCACAGAAGACAGCCTTTCTGGGGGCTTTAGCTGTATCTCTGTTGACTTAGTATTGGCCTTTAATCGCGATACTTTCAGAGAAGTGTCTTGGGTTTAGTTTTGTGTGTTTGCACATAGGATAGAATTTATTTTTATGAAAGACGGGATAATTATTCTTTGTCCATTTTACATACTTTTCTGATACATTGTCTTCTGCAGATTGCAACTTACTTTTAATATATATATATTGCATTGCTTTTTTAAATTTAAATAATCAGAACTTGCACTTCTATTAGAACGTCCAGACGGTACGTTCTTGGCTAATGGGAGGCACTACAACTCTGGACACTGAGCTTCCTAATCATGTCATAGGATGGGCCACATCTACACTGAAAAAATCGATCAGAGACAACTTAGAAGGTCCAAAGGAATATTTTGAAAACTATGGTGAGTGATAGAAGAGTATTTAAATAACTGTTTTACTTCTTTGAAATAAGTACCTTATGCATTATAATAACATTATAATAGATAATATTATAA